CATTTCTAATAATAGGTAAGACCCTTAAATTCTTAATTTTAAATTAATTTGTAGCATGTTTTCATCTGTTTTGATTATAAGAGTTTTGAAAACCTTAATTTCAGATTTAAACAGATTTTCGTTAAAACTTAACACAAGTCAACTTACACTTTCAGTGAAATAACGTAGCAGTTTAAGATTTTTAATTATACTGCCATACTAAAAGCTTTGAGACTTTGCGGTCAAATCCCTATCAAAACTAACGTAATTAATACAGTTTTTAATTTATATTGAGACACGCCACGTGTGTTGTTTTCTCTGAAGTGGGGCTGTCTTTGTGGAAAGATTGGATTTGACAGGAAAAGTTCGCTTTTCAGCGGTACTTGAAAAATAAGATAAAAGACTCTGCAAAACATGTGACCAGGGTTACCAGATTGGCGACATTATCACCCTGGGTGACAAATTTGGCGAAAAACACGATAGTTAAGGAATCATTGAGAAGGCTGTAGGATCGACTCTTCTAGAAATTTCTTTGAAACAAATTTCAAGGTGAGCTCAGAGCAGAGAACAGCCGAGATCAGAATACGTTTGTGCGTTGACTGCCATAAGAGAGATTAGCACTTTTTGTTTGTCTGAGTTCCTGCTAGTAGATCTGTTCTAGAGAGCTGTTTCTGGAACATTGTAAAGCTTGTTTATAATGAGTGCGTTATACACTATTGTAAATAATATGGAACAATGTTTCTGTGTCTATACGCCAGTGCTTCTCAAACTTTCAATATTGGCGACCCAATATTGAATCGTAATTTTCATCGCGCCCCCCTCCATACAATAGCAATGTATTGAATTCAATAATACTATACCTTGACACTAAAGCTACAATACAACTTTAACCTCTTAAGGGCCACTGATGTATATAAACGTCTCGCTCAGCCAAAGGGTTGTTTTCTCCGGACGTATATATACGTCTTTACGAAGTAGGATCTTTTCTGTGCACTGCTATCCATAAAGTTACTCCGAAGGCTTTGGAATGCAATAAAAGGACCTGGGCTGTGTTTTCGAAGGATTTATTTATTTCAGAGGATTTGCTTATTTATTCTCCCCCTCCCGCTAATGCACCCCACACGCATGCCTACGTGGAAAACGGTGACATTGAAGAGCGAATCGCGTAACTTTTAATCGGCAGTTGAGGGATTAATTATAAACTGTACAAATTATCAATATAAGTGTTAATTTTTGTATATAATTTTATATATGACAAGACTGGGGTCACTGGTAAAACTGCTGAATTTGTTCTTAACTTAGTATTGTTAAATTAATCATGAAACACATCGTGCAGTGGTGATACATTTATAAGTTTATTTTATACCAGTGTAAATGTCTATTTTATTTTTTATTATGCCAGAATGTATTTTGTTTGATTACTTTCAGTAAGTTAGTAATTTTTTTAAATAATCATTTGTTTTCGACTTTTCAATAAGCTCGCGCTCCCCTCGTAGAGTTATCACGCCCCCCAGGGGGTGCGCCCCACAGTTTGAGAAACGCTGCTATACGTCGATTTGTCTTCGTGTTGTCATCTGTTCGTCCATTAATAAATCTGCTATTATTCGAACAATTGGAGTCTTCGGTTGCTTTCCCCTTGGCAACAATGTGTTACTTACATAATACAAGGCTTTCTAACTATGAATCACGTCGAAAAGATATAATTGAGGCTATCTTTTTTCAATTAAAACACGTTCGAATAATATTACATACTCTGATTCTACTATTATTTGAAGGTTTTATACTGCTGGGCCTCTGTATATTATGCTGCAAAACATATTCTATAACTCGTTTGCTACATTATAATAATAAATGGGGTTTGAACCTTTCTGTGTTCAAAAGAAAAATTGCATATTTTTGGAATTTTTTTAAATTTGACGACTGCTATAGTTATACAATGGTGTTCAAAAGTTAAGCACGCAATTACGTTTATGAGAACATTTAACATTTTAGTAGGCAATTTTAGAAAAAAGGTTTTATTTAGATTTTCAGAAAGCTTTTATATGTTGATAGAGCCTCTATCCACTGCCCACATAGAACATAAAAATGACCTTAAAATTTTAGCACCACTTGAGAGAGTCAAAATAGAAAATGATCTGTGTGTACAGGAGATGCTCTCTTTGCAATATCAGAAAAGACATTCATCTCTCTCAATGTCTGTGTCGGTCCTGCAGCGTACCACTGTGCCTTCAAGCAAATGGTCCTACTAGCTTTGAGAAGTTCCACAGTAAAAGTGAAATAATTAATTTAAATCCTCAAAAATATTACTTTATTTCTAACTTTTTATACTAAAATTAAATAAAATATAAAATGCGGATATATACCAATATCGATGTATATTTTAGTAAGTATATATTCCATATTGTACAACTATTTTATTATTATTTTATTACACTTATATTTTCTATTTAATTGTTATTGAAATAGTTATTAGCATAAATGTTAATTTTTCATAAAAAAGTTTATTGTAATATGATTCATTATTTGTCCTGAAAAGTAAGTTAAGTGTTTTAAGTGCGCAGTGGCTATAACGGCTAGCCACCACCCAGGGATCCAAAATCCTTGATCAGTTATTTTTTTTTGTGACTAAATAATGTTTATAGAAGAGAAGAACATTACATTTATCAAGTACTTTATCACAGAAAAGTGTATTTTAGTTTTGCGCCCGTTAAAGGGTTAAGGAAACTGAAGTAACACAGAATGGTGAGAAATGTGATATGCGAGTGTAATACGGTTACATCAAAAGAAAACGTTGCAAAAAAAGGTAATTATTCAAAGAAACAAGTTTAAAGAAAAACAGCACTAACTAAATTGTACATTTAAATGAAAAAAAATTAAAAGAACAAGGTTGTTTGGCGATTTAATAAGATGTGTGTTCACCTTTGGTAGCCACACGTGCCGTGCAACGGTTGCCCATATGGGCTATGAGAGTGTGGCCTCAAAGAGTTCAAAGTATTACGGATAACATTTTTCAGTTCTGGAATGGAGTGTGGTGGGTGCGAAACGGCTGCAATTTGTCTCTCGAGCACACCCCGTGCATGCTCATTGGGATTAAGATCAGAAAAGTGAGCGAGTCACTGCATGCGGTGGTTATTTTCACTTTCAAGGAAGTCGCTGACCAGGATCACAAGGTGACAAGTTGCGTTATCATTCAAGAATATAAATCCATGACCGACCGCACCTCTAAATAAGTGAACTAGAATTTCAACTCTGTATTTTTTAGCAGTAACAGAGCCCTTGTAAAATTGATGGGGGTCTGTATGGTCATCCAACATTATGCCTGCCCTCATCATGACCCTCTTTGAAGGTAAATGATGTCTTTCCATGATGCTTCTTGGGTGAAAGCGTGTTTTACGTTCTCTCTATATCGTTATTCGACGAGAATCAATGGCGTAACGGATAACACTTGGGCCCCCTGCAAAGTCAGGTTTTGGGCCCCCAAGTTGGATTTTACGAAGGGTAGGTGCTTGGCGATAGTCAGACTGTGGACCCTCTAAAGCCCTGGGACCACCCACGATGCGGGGGTGTACGTTACGCCACTGTTCAGAATAAAACAGTAACCGTCACTGAATATCACATTGGCCCACTATTGAAGATCCAATGGTGTAGTTTCAAACTCCAATTTAGACTAGCATGTTTACGCACAATTGTGAAAGGAATGTCAACGCCTGGTCGTCTGGCATACAGGTCAGCATGATTGAGTCTCCTGTAAATAGTTTGTAGCGAAATTTGTACTACTGGGGGGGTGAACACTGAGCCGAATTCTGTCTCACAACTGTTCCACTGATGTCGCGAAGTTCCTGCCAAACATTAATCTTGACGAACGGTTGTTACTCTTGATAGATTTCGTACTGGTTCGAGTTACTTTTTCTGTGCCTCTGCCACTACCTTGAGACCACACACTGAGGTACATTTAAAATTTGAGACACTTAGGAATTTAGATCAACCACATTCCAGCATTCCTTAGTTCTTTCTTTCATAAACATGTCTGATCGTTTAGCTCACTCCTCCACGCAGCGATTACACATAACCTACCTGATCTCCGTATGGCATATACGTGAACCAGTTTTATACTCTTTGTGACGTGCTCACATGTTTCGAGCATGCCAACGTCGACTGAAATGTTTTGCGAACGCACACCGTTGCACCTTCAAACAGTAATTCTTCGCAAGTGATTTTGAACAATTTGACCAATATTTACTCAAGTTCTTCTACATTTTACGAATCATGCTTAACTTTTGACCCTCATTGTAATAAATAGGTGTGCGCGTTATAGCGGCAGAAGTTTATATAAAAATTGAAATCTTCTCTTTGGAAATGTATTCTAATTTCTTCTTAGGTTCTCTGCAATGAGACGAAAATAAATCTATTGTACAGCAAATACAAGGCAAAATTACAACTGATGAGGGAGTATGAATTAGTTAGGATTTCAATGTTTGCCTACTTTCGGTAAAAAATAATTGTTTTATTTTACAGGACGAAATAGACGTTGTATCGATAAAAACTTTGGAAGTTTCTTCATTTTATGGGATCATTTCTTTGGCACATTTGAACCAGAAGGAGATATGAAAATCGCGTTTGGAGTAACGAAACCTCTCCAGACTTTCAATCCAATTATGGTGCAAGTAAGACGCTTTTGTATTGAGTAAAGTATCATTTCCAGTTTCTTTTCTGAGTGTACCAAACGTCAATTTTGTAGATCGTAATATATTTTGATTCTATTTTGTGCAAAATATATCATAAACAGCAAGAGGTAATTAAAATGGGGACGAGTTTATTGTTATTGTCGTGCGTTTCATCTTGGGATACATACAAAGGATAAGAAATAGATGTAAACAAAAACATACAATACAATAACATAAGAATGTAGACTTTATTACAAACGATTATATCAGAATAGAACAGATGGGGTGTGCGCTGCTTTCCATTCGAGACGGAAATCCATTTCAGGCGACAGTCCGACTTTCACCACCGAAGATACATGCTTATTCGGGATTCGAATCCGAGCTCCCTCGATTAAAAGTCGAGTGTTCTAACCACCATACTGGCTGGGTAAGTGATGAAGGGATTGATTAAGAAGGACATAGAAACAGCACGAGAGCTATTTGTCACTGATCTCGTCATTTTGAACTGCGATCGAGTAACGAGGATGATACCTGAGCTAGCATCTCATTACCTGAGCTTCCACATCACGGGAAAAAAAATCTAAATTGGATGAGGAAACTGAAAAAGCTAGTATAATTCCTTCTTTTCTACTTACAATACAGTTTATATTAAAACTAACATTACTTTTTGACTGTAAATAAAAAAGAGGTTAGAAAAAATGTTTTAAAATCAACATAGTAAGCTTATATGTTTCAATGTCCTCAAAATATTATTGTATTCGGTAAACAAGTAATATAAAAAAAAATTAAGCCAATTCCTACTTAGATCAACAAAGAAAATTTTTATTTTAGCTGTTTTTTATTAAATAGTTACAATTAATATAAATCTGTATATACATATGACAGAACCGCAACACTAAGTGGTAATTAATTTGTATTAATTTTCATTAAAGTATCGTATGGTAATCCAAAACAGTCGTGTATATAAAATTTCAGTTCAACTGAATACTTTAAAACGTGAGAAAAAAACCTTTTAAAATTTGACACACACACACACAAGTCGCCAAAAATTATGCCAACGTGGCTGCATTTGTAATTCTTTAAATAATTAGTTTTAATCGATTAATTTTTATTAATTATTAGCTGGTATACCCGTTCTTCGCACGGGTGAATTGAAAAATTAAACAACACAGCTTGAAGGATAAAGAAGTTTTTAATGAGTTAATTTTACGTGAATTGCAAATTAAACAAAAAAAAAAAAAGCTTTTTGCTTATCTCAGCTAAACAACAAAAAAAAAAAAAACACCTTTATTAAATTTTAAGTATGTAAATCTAATAGCTGATAAAAGGATTTTTTTTTATTTATAATTCCCCGTAACACTCTTGAGGGTCGATTTTTGAAAATACCTCCCTAAGCTGATCTCTGCTCAACAAAAATAACTCAATGTTAATGCATAATGAACGCTTAAAATAGTGTAAATAATTTATATCTAAAAGTGTAATACATTAATAATACTTTCTGTTGTATGTATTTTATGTTAAAATTGTAATATTCGCAAGCAACGCCGTTTCTTAAATTATAATGGCGATTCAATGAAAAACACAGCGAAATGATAACGATAGAGTCAAGTTGGCAAATGTCTTGCAACTTTCATAACTCGAGCTTTATTAGAGCTTTGTAAGACCCGCCGTGTAGGGGTGCGATGCACGTTAATGCTTTATCTACCACATTATGATTTACTGCAGTTTTTTCATGCAATATTTTTTTTTTGGATTGCTACATTGAAAATTAAGGGATATACATAAACGAAATACTCCACTTTGGGAAATTTAATCCGTTAGAGATAATAAAAATTAATTAAAGATATTCCACTGTAAAATTAATTATGTACACCATTCACTTAAAATAAATAGTCAAATTGTTTTCTAAGGTCTTCATTAACATACAAAAACATAAGACGCTTAAATTTTGACATACGCTATTTTTTTAGGGACAAAAATAATAATCTTTGCAATCCGCTGAAAACGCATTCGCCTTCCCCGCTAAAATACTCATCGTAGAACCCGTGCTGCCATATATCTTGGAAGAGTGGATTTCAAAGACTATTCCTGCTAAGTATTGGTAGAATATTCCTTCTAAGTGGGTGTGGTGTGGTAGTTAGGAGAAAGGGGTGCCAGCTCAGGTGTCGTCGCGTCACTTGACCATGGTTCAAAATTGCGTGGTCCGTTGCCAAAAGCCCTCGTGTAGCTGAACAGTGCGACGTTAATATTCACTCACTCCAAAAAATACAGTTCAGTAGTTATAATTATTTTTATACTTAAAAATGTAATATTCGCCTATTCAATTAAAATTATAGCGTTATAATTAACTACTAACCCCAAACAAACTATGCAAATATGTCCAAATGATGTAGTGTGAAAGACAAAGTTTATCTACTGTAAGTACCAGAGGCAATAAAAGTATTTATTTTGAAAAAAGATCAATTTTTTACTACCAAATGTGCTTAATAAAATCATTATAAAAACATTCAAATAAAGGGAGATTTATAACAACCTCTCCCTTCAAAACTTAGTTTTATTCTGAAATAAAAAAATTAGGGATTATGCTGATCACAGGAATTAATTAGAAGCGAGCGCCTTGCGTAGTCGAAACAAAAAGGGTTCTTTCACAAACAAAAGATAGATATATGCTGACGTGGGCTTTTTTGCAGCGCACGCTAGAATTGCTTGCAGATGGCAGAATTTTTCCTACTTACTTGACAAATATCGTTATATTTTAGACACTTCTCACGGTATCTTTATAAATTATAGCCTATGCTATAAACTATAGCCTATGTGTTATTCTGATGTATAAGCTATATTACTGTAAAGTTTCACTAAAATCCATTCAGTTGTTTTTGCGTGAAAGACTCCCAAACATCCTCACAAACTTTCGCATTTATAATATATATCTAGATTATTAAATTATTGTATTGTCATCCAAAATAATCATGTATATTAAATTTCAGCTCAATTGAGCGCTTTAAAATGTATTTTATTAATGATTGAAAATTTCACCAAGATAAATAAATAAATATATAGAGTGTGAGTTAATAGAGGAATTGAATTTCTCATTGTATAGTCGGGGTGTTGGGCGGAATTTTTCAAGTATGTAATTTTTTTCCCTAATTTTCCCCTTCAGGAAAAAAAAAAGGGTTTTCCCCTCTTTACGTCAGCACTCCCTGGTAATTTCAATAATTACTTATTTTTCAATATTTCAATTATTTTTTCACAAAAATTCTTTTTTCCAATATTTCTTCCTCTTCTTTCTTCCCTCAGACAATTTTCTTTAATCTTCTTTCAATTTTTTTAAATTGAAAGGGAAAGAACCTTACTCTGGCCCTTTAAGGGAAAGTGAATACGTAACTTTAAAAAAAGAATACATTGAATTCGCAACTAATAGAATGGCTGAATTATTAGTTGCAAGTTCTATAAAGTTAATTTCTACCTAATCGCAACTAATATGCAATCCAAATGCTTAAAAAAATGGTGCTTAACTCATGTTTTAGTTATTTTATCAAATAACTACCTTTGTTGCTATGTCTAATGTGTTAAATTAAAATATGAATATTTAATGATGCATACGTAACAACAAAATTTCAAGTTGAAAAATATTATTATTGATTGCAATGATGTCACTTCTTCCTATCTTTCCAATATTTAAGAAGATAGCTTCTTAAATATTGAAAAGAGTTAATGCTATATGCAAAGAATAGTTTGTGCTTTTTATAAAGCCAAACGAATATCAAAAAGTCATAAGTGTTCCATTTCCCTGATGAATATTTTAAATTATGGTTAGACACGATTTATTGAAGTTTTGGCCACGAGGAAATTGTCAGTACCTGTTACTTAATATATTTCATGTATAAAATGCAGTATTTAAATTTTGCATACAGCTTTGTGTTTTGTGCTTGGAAAAAAAAAGAATGATTTACATTACACTTAGATTTCAAATTATATATATATATATATATATATATATATATATATATATATATATATCTTTTATAAAGTATGTACTAAAATTGTTTGAAAGAGAACTAAGCATACACACATTTGTGTTATGTTTTGTACAGTTTAACTATTTACGAAATATTTGGGAGCGAATTTGGACAGCGGATGGCTTTATAAACAAGTTATCAGTTATATTCAAAGGACCTGGATGGAGCCCTGGAAAACCTTGGTTGGGTAATCTTGAAGATATTCCTGAGGTAAGAATTGTCTTCAAATGACGTATTGCGTATCGTTAAAACTATTGTCAGATCAACTGGTATAAAAATTTTTCTTTATATTTAATCTAAAACTTAATTCTTAAGTAAATTAATTATTGATTGCATTTTGAATCCATAGAAACCTTCACTGTCAGAGAGAAACAAGGGCCACACAAAACTTACAATAGAATTTACATTTCACTGAGAGCATTACTTCTCAAAGTTTCAATACTTACGACGCAATTTTCTATCATTATTTTCATCGCACCCTCCATACAATAACATTGTATTGAATGCAATAATAAAGTACTTTGACGTAAAGCTACAATACGACTTTAACTATAAACCACACAAATTATTAAGACATGTATTAAATTTTGTATATGACAAGCCCATGAGAGTCAGTAATAACCATTATACTTGTTCGTAATTTAGTATTGATAAATTAGTTATCAAATACATTGTTCATTACCGATGCATTTATATTATATCAGTGTAAATATGGTTTTTACACTTTTCATTACGTCAGAATGTATTTTGTTTTGCTTCCTTTCAGTAAATTAATAATTTTTTAAAAACAATCTTTTATTTTCGACCCTTTGATGGGCTCGCTCCCCCAAGTAGAGTTATCACGCCCCCTAGGGAGGCGCGCCCCCCAGTTTGAAGAACACTGGCTTTGAGGATAACACATACCGTAAAATCCGGCGTATAACGCGCACTTTTAGCGCAAAAAATATGATCGAAATTTACGTTATACGCCAGGTATAAGAATGAGAGCTTTAAAAACAAAAATAGAGATGATTATAGAAACAAAAATTAGTCTTCTGCATCTCTCAAAATCATATTTATTTAAAAGAAATGTCCCATTCCTTATGAACTTAAAGGGTTGCAGTTCTAGAATTGTACTAATTTTTCTAAAGCTTTGAATAATACCTCGAATAGTTTATTTGAAAACACAAGAATATTACACACGTACATTCCAGGTTTCTTCGTAAATTTGGGGTGCGTGTTATACGGTGAATGTACCTAAAAATTAAAAATTGCAGCTTGAAAGTATGGGAACGCGCTATACGTCGGATTTTACGGTGTTAATAATTTACCCATCTTAAAAACAAAACTTTATATTCCTGTTTTACTTGATATAAAGTATTTCAAAAAATGTTTAAATTGTTTATTTAAACATCCAATCTGTATA